CCCCCCCCCTTTCCATGTTTAATTGTGAATAGTTTTGTTTAGACATCCAAATGGAAAATTAGGTAGGAAACAGTTACATTTAATCCCTGATGGTGGTTCATTTATGTCAAAAAACAGATACCTGCAAAACAGAGACAAAACCATGAAGTAGATTATAATGGGTCACATAAAATTCAGAAAATTAATTTAATCTTGCCTTCCTAACATTGACAGGTTTTCAAGTAACTGAAGAACAATTAGAAGAGGCAGCAACCGAGTCTGGAGTTCTTCACATGTCTGATGATTTTCTTCCCCCAGAAGTGAGAGCTGAATGTCAAAGAATCATTCCAGACTTTGAGACCATAAGGCCAGATGAATGTAATGATGCATATCTGTACTTAAAAAGCAAATTTTAACTTGAAGTTTGACCAAATTTCTCGTTATTTGAACTGTAACATAGACAAAAAAGAAACTGCATAATTTCATTTACAGGCTGTATAGCATGAACAACAACACTAAAACAGAATAAAGGAGATGCTCTCTGTTCAACAAAATGGCTAATTTCTATGAAAGAGTATTTCATCCAGTAACAGCAACAACAGTAACTTTACTAACAAGAATTAAACAGCAAAGAAACCAATAACATGGAACACATCAGCCCAGTTGTGTGGGCCAGGAAATACAAAATTAATTTGCTCTGACCAGTCCACTTGTGCAGGCTGGCAATATCCTTGCAATTCTTTTTTGATTGTATATTCCCAATATTTTGGTTGCACTGCACACAGAGGTATGTGGCAGGCATTCTTTGTAAAGTAAAGCTTTTTTTGTTTGTGTCTCAATCACATTGTTAAGAGTTAACTTGAGATATTTTAGCTAATTTGTGCTGCCAACTGGGACCTTAGTCAACTTAGGCAGACCAGCTCCATATAAAAATAACCTAAAAAAAGTCAGCTAATAAACATTTACTTTCTTACTGGGATGCCAATGGCAGCACCTTAAGCTGCAAGATCCTACAATAAAAATTGCACTTGTGTTTTGCAAAGAAATTCTTAATAGCTCCCTCCGCCAAGTTGCCATTGCAGAAACGCAAGGAAACATCAAGATCTTTCTCAATTTGGGGCCCGAAATGCTTTTGACAGGCNTGTCTCAATCACATTGTTAAGAGTTAACTTGAGATGTTTTAGCTAATTTGTGCTGCCAACTGGGACCTTAGTCAACTTAGGCAGACCAGCTCCATATAAAAATAACCTAAAAAAAGTCAGCTAATAAACATTTACTTTCTTACTGGGATGCCAATGGCAGCAACTTAAGCTGCAAGATCCTACAATAAAAATTGCACTTGTGTTTTGCAAAGAAATTCTTAATAGCTCCCTCTGCCAAGTTGCCATTGCAGAAACGCAAGGAACCGTCACCATCTGTTAATTCTACCGAGGCAATTTCGGGGTCATACAAGTTAAGTCCTGCACCCTGAACATCTAGTACCATGAGCTTTCCCTGTGACTTTTCATATGTGAAATGTGCAAAACACTGAGCCTTGTCACACAGGACATCATCCTCAGTGCAAATGTCCCCATTGTTGTTGATATACTTAACAAACACACCATCAATGAATTCTTCAATAGTCACATAGTCACCCTCACTCATCTTGCCTAGGAATACCTTCTTATAGTGAAAGGTAACGCCAAACTCTGTTAATGTTTCCTTTTCCACTTTCTCTTTCAATTGGGATGTGAAATTTCTGGCTAAATGATGCATCTGCACAGCCTTTCTTGTGTGACTCTCAACAGTCTGATTTGTTTTAATAATATCATCCAAAGTACCCTTCAGGTATTTTTTGATGACCCAAGTCACCCCGCTAAATCCAAGAGTGTCACTAGTGGCTTTGAATGCCTCTCTAAATCCACCAGATGCAAATGGCTTGTCAGCTATCCTAAATTCTACAGTCATTGGAGCAGTGGACCATTCCATATGCTCGATGTTAAATGTGAAGATATCAATAATGGTCGTTGTCTTCTTTGCAATGACATTCCCCAGCTTTAACATTTCTACAACTGAGAGGCTTTTTGGGTAAACTTTACTGACTAGACTCCCATACTGCTTCTTAGGACTTGGAAGTGAACTAGTTGTTGAAGCCTTATCATATCGAGCTCTCTTGGGCTTTGGTATATACAATGCAAAAGAGACAAATAATTAAAACAGGACAAGAAAGAATTCAAAGGTTACAAATTGCACATCAAAAACACTTTTAAGAATTTCACAGCACGATTATCATTTGAGTTAACTAGATTTCTATGATTACAAAGTTGTTGATGTATTTATTTCCCATTTAAATTTGAATATTATTTGTCAAAGGTTGCAGACTGACAGCCCAAAGCTTATAGATGTTAAATTTTTTCGCCAGAGAACACATTTTACCTTTTCAATTGCATCGCTTGACATACATAACCCTGGCAGATGCAATGGGGTGTCTTTTTTGAGTGGTCGTCCATTAATGTGATGATTTAAAAGTAACTTAGAAAATCATGTAGATCCATGTAGTATCAGAATCGGGCAGTGTCTAATACATAAACATACCTAACTGCTATCATGAATAATATTCGTGTTAGGCGTCGACTGATACAGTGCTACACTTGAGTTTAACATTCACTTGTTAACGCTTACCCCACGGCTGCGATTCTCTTCTTCCTCAAGTTCCCCTTCTGGTTTAACAAACCGGACGTAAAACACTTTTTTGTTTGGAATTTGAGCCATCTTGTTACATGATGGTCCACGCTCTCCCGCTAACACATCACAAACAAGATCTTTCTCAATTTGGGGCCCGAAATGCTTTTGACAGGCGTCCTTGATGTTGTGAATAGAAAGCTCGTCCTGCTCAAAAGGAACGTACTCCTGAGCTCCAATGCGAGTGTATTTTTGTTGTTTCCCACTTACATC